TGTGACTGACTGCAAAGTTGGCTGGGAGCACATGGTGTGTGAGAGACATGCTGCCTAGAGACCCAGGGGACCCAGGGTTCTCCAGGTTCTGTTCCTGTCCCTGTGGGAAGGTCCCACTCCCTTTCCAAGCCTTGGTTTTCTTTTCTGAGATAAACAGGTTGAACTTAGCTGTGTGTGTGTGTGTGTGGGGCTTTCCCTCTCTGGTTCTATGCAGTGAGCTGTCCAGAAGCCACAGGTCCTCTGAGGCTCCATCTGGGGCTGGGTGGGGGTGGGGTGGGGTGGGGTGGGGTGTTCCAGGGCCGTCAGTTCCTGGCAAGTCCTGTCCAGGGACACAGTGGTAAATACAGAGACTTCCTCTTCATGGCAGGTTAGGAGAGATCTGAAGGCGCAGACTGAGGTAAACAGCTCCTCATTCAATTTCCCAGGAGGGTTTGCCCCCCCTCAAGATTCAAAAGGAGACAGAGAAAAGGAAACTCTGGCTGGAGGGGAGGGGCCTCTAATCCACCCTTTCACAGGCTCTGGTGGCAGACAATGGCTTCTGCTCACAGGGACAGTGGGTCCTGTTGGCCTGTGTCCCCCCCATCGGACAAGAATGCGGAACGGCCCTAATCCAGTAAGAGGAGTTGCTCACAAAGCCCATGGCCCGGTCACCCCAGCAACGGGCCAGGGATGGCGTGCCCCCCGCCCCGCTCCTCCCCTGAAGCTGCATGGGTGAAAGAGGGCCCTCCCTGCCCTGTGCAGGGAGGACAATGGCAGGCGGGATGGATGGTCACCATGGAGCCTCCTCCCCAAGATGCTAGAGAGGCCCAGGCTGCAGCTGCAGGGGTAGGGCTGCCCGCCCTTAGTTCCAACCCCCCACCTCTTCCCAGGGAACCAACAGAAAAATCCCTGGGCTTGGAAATCGGGGAGGGGGTTGGGGATAGGAGGCACCTCTCCTGAATTTGACCCATTATTTCCACACACTTCTCTTTCCACACCCCTTTTCTCTCCCTTCAGGAAAGATTTTATGGGCTAGTTCGTTTCTAAGTCTTTGTGTCTAAAATCAGTTAATGGGTGAAGTGCAGTGAACTCTTCAGAAACAGAAGCCCAGGGAAATATATAAATAGATTGTAAAAACAATCACATAGAGACACAAATCACTAGCTAGATGAAAATATTTGAGAGCTCAAGACGTACACATATGCAAAGATTATGCCCATTTCTGATGTTCGACTGTTTATACACACAAATATATGATAAACCATCCTAGGCTTAGGGGCAGAGCTCTAAAGATAACAAGGCTTAAAAGCGAGATTCTAAAAAAAAAAAAAAAGGGGGGGATTTTGGGTACTAGAAGGAGTTTCTGTGTAACTACTATACAGTAGAACTCTGAGATCCTTCTCTTTCAACTTTGGAAGCCTGGAATTCTAAATCAGATTTTTTTTTTGGGGGGGGGGGTTACTAGGAATTGAACCCAGGGGCACTTAACCACTGAGCAACATGCCCAGCCCTTTTTATTTTTTTTATTTTGAGACAGGGTCTTTCTGACTTGCTTAGGGCCTCGCTAAATTGCTGAGGCTGCTTTGAACTAGCGATCCTCCTGCCTCAGCCTCCCGGGTTGCTGGGATTACAGGCACGCCCTGGCCAGAATTATTATTATTTTTCCTGGTGCTGGGAATTGGAGCCATGCTAGGCGAGTGCCTATCACTGCACCATACTTCCAGCCCTTTAAATTAAATTTATTAATCTTCAATGAACAGTTCCACCCTCCTCCAAGCTCAGGTTCTGGCTTCAGAGAGTAGGTTGAGGACCCTCCAGTTATCCCCATTAGGTCCCAGAAGATCACAGAAGATGAGACGAAGGAAACAAGTATGTCATCAGGCCTCCGTTAGTCCCCATGTAAGTAACACAGATAAGAAGAGCTATATGTCACTGCCCTGGGCCAGTTCCCCAAGGAGAGGCCTCCAGCTATCTACTGGTCAGCCTGTCAAAATAAATTAGACACAGCACCAGCTCAAACCTAGACAGAGTCCAGCATACAGAGAGCATTCAACAATTATTTACTAGTGAACCCAAATCATCATAATAAATATTTATTGGTTAAGTCACCAGATTGAGCTTTGACTGATAGGACCAGTGCCCAGATAAGATTTTCTCCTCTTCTTCTCAGGCCTGGTTGGAGTCAATTTTTAGAGACCTTTGTTCTCACCTGCAAGATAGTTGGTCGACTATGTTCTAGAATAAAAACAAGCTGACGGAAGCCAAGGAAAGGTTGTTAACTGGATCACCCAGAGATCAGAAGGCTACGTGCCTCAAGACATTCCTGATTTACCCTGGTATAACTCTTAATATTGCCCCCTTTACTCTCCAAAGCATCCAAGTTCAGATAATATAGTACATGGCCACCATACTGCGAGGGGGAAGGAAAACCAGCCCCAATGATGACAACGTAAATGTAAATATCTGACCAGTGGACTTTAAAAGCCCGGTGTCTAATTCTTATTTGTCCCATTGAGCTATGCAACTCAAGGCAAGTCACTTGGATGATCTGGTTAACTGGTCTGGCTAGTTTTCATGTCATGTCATACAAAAAATGAAAGGATTAATTTTCTTTCTTTCTTTTTTTTTAATTATGGTACTGGAGATTGAACTCAGGGGCACTCAACCACTGAGCCAGATCCCCAGCCTTATTTTGTAACTCTCACTGAGTTGCTAAGCACCTTGCCATTGCTGAGGCTGGCTTTGAACTCACGATCTTTCTGTTTCAGACTCCAGAGCCACTGGGATTACAGGCATGTGCCACTGTGCCCAGATAAAGGATTAATTTTTCTAAATAGCTGCTGGATGCCTACTATGTGCTTGGTATATTGTGCTAGGTGTTGGGGAGTCAGACAATAATTAGACATCCTCACCCACCTACCCCAAATAAATTAGACAGTCCCTGTGTCAAGGTCTCTACTCCAGTGGAAGGACTGGCAATTAAATTAACTTCAGTCTAGTGTGATGAATGTGGCAGCTGAGGTCCCGGCCTGCCGGGGACTCCAGGAACACTGCAGAGAGCTTCCTTTTCCCTGGAGGATCAGGGAAAACCACCCCTGGGAGAAAACTGTTTTAGATCGTGAGGAACAGGTGAGGTTTGCTAGGCCATGGGAGGTAGACTAGAGAGGACAGCAAGGGCCTTCCAGGTAGAAAGAAGGGAGCTAGTCATGAGTGTGCACATCTGAATGAATCTTGAAGCTCCCTTCCACATTCTAGCACTTGAGCAGAGCTTTGGAAAGGGGCCATCCGTTACTAGGCCAGGAAGAAGCCGACCAAGGACTGCTGCAGGCCTCCCTGCCGTGGCACATTAACCTGCCTGAGCATCGTTCCTGCTGATCTCATCCCAGAGCTTTTCTTGCCCCCTCAGCCTTGCACGTTAGAAAGGTGGCAGGGCACATTTTTTATCCAGTTTTGCAAAAAGAGAACAGTGAAGTCCAGAAGGCTGCATTGCCTTTTTCAAAGTTCCTTAGTGCATCAAGACAACATCAGGATCCAAGATGGAGGGTTGCCTGGCTAACACTTCAGTAGATACAAGTTCCTTGGAGATGGCCAGCTCTGCCTTCCATTCTAGGAAGGGAATGCCCCACATCTTGCTGTGGGCCAGGCTGGATAGCGAGTGCCCCTATTCCACTTACAGATATTCAAACATGCCTGCTCCTTTGCCAGTACCCTGGGGACATGATGCTGGGCTCAATTGGTAAACATTGCCTCACTCCCAGGAACTCAGATCAGGAATAATATGTACTCAGGATAAGATTGTAGAAAGTTCTTAGGAAAAAAAGAAGAAGAAAGATAAGGAGGAGGAGGAGGAAAAGAAGGAAGAGGAGGAGGAGGAGGAAGAAGAGGAGGAGGAGGAGATGATTTAGAGATGCTGTTCCAGGTGCTAGAGAGAGGGTACAAGCTGGGCATTTCTGGTCACAGTTATCGCCTGGAACTGGAACCAAGATCCTTGATTCCTTGTTGGCCTTTCACAGAGTAGCAGCTGTCTGAGAGGCGGGCAAGGAACTGAAGGATGATAGCAGAGGAGAAGTTGGGCTAGGCCAGTCTAGGCTCAGAAGAGGGGATGGACCTGGGGGTGGTTCACTATCCTACCCAAGAACCAGGCAGAAGCTGGCCTAAGAATCAGGCAAGGAGCAGGAATGGGATCTAAGGGGAGTCTGCGCCACCTCCCCTAAGTCCCATACTATGCTACTCCCCTGCCACCTTCTCGCCCACTCTGCCAGGTTCCTGGGCGAGGAGCTTCCCTGCCCAGCCCTCCTGTGTGGTTTGGCTGGGGCCCAAGAACAAGAGTTGCCTGCAGCTTCCCTCCGTGCTGCTGAGCAGGCAGGTGCAGGAGGAGCTAGTAGGGCAGTGTCTCGCTGAACAAGCCTTTGGCAGCTGGCCAGGCGAGTCCTTTTCTGAAGCTAGTGCTGAAGGAGACACTCCGGCTTTGAACAAAGCAGACAACACAGTGGTGTGTCTCAAGGAGGGCTGAGCACAATCCACAATCTTTCTTGGGGCAGGACTGTCCCAGGATAGAGGGGTCTCCAGGAAAGGGAAGGTAGGGACCAGCCTTGCTGGAACAATCACACTGTGTTAGACTGTGCTAAGCACTTTACATATACATTCTCATTTAATCCTAGAATCCCATGAGGCTGGATTATAATTCCACTTCACAGATTAGGAAACTGAGGTAGAGAGGTCCCACAGCTGATAAGCAATGTAACCACAATATGAACCCTTATAGCCTTGACTCTGAGCTAGGCAGCCTCCTGGATGAGGTTTAAAAATCAGGAATGTAACATAGCTTCCCCACCCAAGATCCCTCAACATAGTCAAGTAGGCTAAGGGGGGTTGGTTCCCAGTGACTTTCTACCCTAAGCACTCACTTCCTGGAGCACTGGGGAAGACATGAAAAGCTAGCTGCTGGGGTGACAAAGCACAGAGACAAGCCTGGGCTCATTTTGAGGCCAACTTCCAGACCAAGACTCAGTACTGGGTCATCTAGGGCCTGGGGTACACCATCCTAGAGCCCGTTGCAGGCCTTCAACTCACCAGCCAGAGGACAAGTCACTTTCCTCTCTGGGCCTTAGTTTTCCCATCTTTCAATGAAAGAATCAGATTATCTTCATTTTCAAACACTTTGAAGGTTTGCTTGGCAATTTAATATATAATGGAGACAGAAGCACCCCCACCCCACAGCGCTACCCATTTGGACGCTCCTCACAGTAACTTTGGAGGGTATGACTTCTTATTGATAATCTCAAAGGCTTTGGTGGCCTCCACTATTCCAAAGACCCCAGCAAATGTTTTTTCTCTTTAAGGGAAGGAATCGACAGGGGAGCTAAGAGACTCACAGGAGGAAATGTCATTTGGATACCAGGAATGTGTCCAAGATCCAGAGCAAATATTTGTTTTTCCTCTCATGCCCTCCTGGAGCAGCCATTAGTCCCACCCACCTGCCCCTCCCTCTGGACAATCCCATCTGGCCCCCCACTAATTCCATCTAGGCAGGTTGAGAATGGAAAGTGTGCTAGAAAGAAAAATTAGGGATGGGAGTCACCACTCAGCAGGCTTTCCTCAGAATCTAGGCCCCATCAACAATCTCAGTTCACTTGGGGGAAGGTTTTAGAGCAGCTCCATGCTCTTCTCCTCCACTGCAGGATCCTGAGACATCAGGTCCTTCTCTCTTCAGGGAGGACAAAGTGCAAGGGATGAGTGTGGGGGGGAGACAGCAATGCTCCAGAATGGAGAAATCACCAGCACAGCAGAAAGCTGCTCCCCAAGAAAGAGGGGGATCCTGAGCAAGTTCCCAGCAACTGTACTGGGTGGTCTATGGATCAGGGAGGTTCAGAACAGGTCCCAGCTACGGATCTTGGCTCCCTATATAGAGAAAGAGGGAAGAGGCCGAAGAGTTTCTTCTGAATTCTCTGCGCTGATGCAATAAGAGCTGGAATCCCTGCCCAGAATCACTGAGGTTTGAAAACTGAAAACTCGTTTATCTCACTCTGCAATCAAATGAGATTCCTCTCTGTGTGAGTCTGTCTCTGTCTGTCTGTCTTTTTCTCTGGCACACACACACACACCCACAGTGATTCCAGTCCAAAGCCTGATGGGATCTCAATCTCAATCTCAGTTTCTCAATTTCTGGACCTGCCCACTATCAGAGACCCAGTCTTCCCCCCAACAAGAGGCAGGGGGCACAAGCCACGAGCAACTGTTTTTCAGCTAAGCCCCTGACAAAGCCTGGGCCCAGCAGTCTCAAGCCTGGAGCCTCACCAGGCCCTCACTCTGTATAGAAAGAGAAAGAAAAGGAAAGCCAGAAAGTACATGATTGCCCAATAGCTGTAACCTGGCAGCGGGAACCAGGGACTGTGCCAGGCGTTAACAGGAAAAACATACTTGGACCTATTGATGGGGCCATAATCCACCCCTTTCTTCAATATCTATTCTCCTTCACCAATGAAATGACTTCTTGAATTTCAAGCCAGTTACTGGCTGCAAAAGCAAACACAATCATAGCCAATAAGGCAAACCATGGCCACACATACGCACACACAACTCACAAGCAGCACCACTAAATTCAGCAAACCATAATTCCTAAACCATGTACTCTGAAAGGCTTATTAAAATACAAATTATAGAGCATCACGAGAAATTCCCCTCAATATGGAAGCAGAGAATAAGTATTTTAAAGAAGCACTTCAGCTGATTCTCATGCATGCTAAACTCAAGTTTGAGAACCATTGTTAGCTAATTTTGGACACATTTGCCATCTTGACAGGGCTGGCCTTTCTGGATACAACTATCAGTTCTTACTGTATTTTTTCCTATGCATTAGGAAAAAAATTATCATTTGTTATCTTATTCAATCTTCCTACAAGTTTGTGAGGCAGCCTGTTTTCTCCATTTTTGCAGAAGGGGAAACTGAGAATACAGATAAAGGAAATTGCTCAAGGTCACAAATTACTATGACTACCAACACACAGCCCAAATCAACAGTACGAGTTCCTGAAAATGCCACAAACACAAAACTATCTTCTTGGGACATTGTGAACTTGCACCAGAGTCTGGTGTTATATTTCCCAACATCAAAAACACATCATAATTAAATTTTGACTCAATTGCAGAGCTTGAAAGGGCCTAAGTGTCAACCCCAACCTGTACAGATCTCCAGACTATCAGAGTGGAGAATCTCCACACTTCAATGATCACCTCAACCACACACCTACCTACTTCTCAAACCCCTGCTAAGATCAGTTGCCTTCTTCTTCCTCTTCCCAATTCCACTCTGTTGAACAGTCTGTTTCTTTTTTCTTCTTCTTTTTTTTTTTTTTTTTTTTTTTTTGAGAGAGAATTTTTTAATATTTATTTTTTAGTTGGCGGACACAACATCTTTGTTTTGTATGTGGTGCTGAGGATCGAACCCGGGCCGCACGCATGCCAGGTGAGCGCGCTACCGCTTGAGCCACATCCCCAGCCCGAACAGTCTGTTTCAAGCAAAATTTAACTTAAGTCCCATCTTCTCTAAGGACATGCAGGCTAGTGTGGTTGAGGTTCTCAGGTCCACAAACTTAGTCCCTACAATCGCGGATAGCCATCTACAAACCTCAGCGTAAGTAGACTGCATGCTGCCAACTCCACCGAGCAAGGCACTAGTCTCTGGATCCATCCTCCACTCCCCGCGGGCGGCCCAGCCCCATGCCCGCCCTCCCGCCTACCCACACGGCCAGCGCAGCGAGAGGCACTTACCAGGCGCCCTGAGCTCTCCCGCGCCTTCTTCACCTTCCCGTAGGTGCCTTTACCTAGGGTCTCCAGGAACTCGTAGCGGTGCCGCAGGTTGTGCTTGTGGTGATGCCGCTTCACCGCCTGCTTCTTCATCAGGGGCTTGGGAGACTTGATGAGCCCGTCTGCCAGTGGCCGGGCGAGCTCCGCCGTCAGGGTGGCGGTGGCAGAGGCAGCCGGGCCCGGGCGCCGAGGGAAAGCCAACGACTCCATGGCGGGTTAGAGGTAAGCGAGAGCGGAGCGTCAATCGTCTGGCTGTGCGGGACAGCTAGGTTCTCTGGCACATGACCCGCACCGGGACAGCGAAGTCACTGCTGCAGCCGAGCGCGCTCCAAAGAGCCGCATTCCAAGTTATTATAATCGCCCGATGCCAGAGGCTCTGGTCACGCCCCCCAAAGTTCATTGGTCTGCTTGCCGACAGCGCGTGACCAGGGCCTCTCCCATTGGCTCTCCCAGGCCCCCGACACCGCCTTCTCCCTTCTGCGTAGCCAGGAAAGGTGTCAATGGAGCCCCGCCCACCTGGGCCCGGAGGGACAGGAATGGAACTAGGGAATGCCTGCGGAGGCTGCTTGGCCAGTTGGTACTACTGAAATCTGGAACTCGACTTTGAAGGCCCTCGAAACGGCCCTTGCCTCCGAGCAGCTCTTGGTTTTGGTTATAACCACCTGTTCTATTATGCTGTGTTCTCAATTGGCGAGGCGGCAATCTGAGGGCGCTAGAGGTCACCAAAGTATTTCTTTATCCTGAGTAATTTGCTTCTCCCAAGCCAAAGTCGCTTGACCACTTATGTCCAAAAGAAGAAAGGGGGATGGGATGGAAGGGTAGAGGACTCTAGCCAAGTGGGAGGACTGGTGGAGGGCTTATCTTCAGTTAGGTCAGCCTTAATTAGATCCTGGAATCCAACCCTCCTGGAAAGTTGTTACCTCTTCATCAAAGAGAACGCGTAGTGTTGCATGGATCCCTCAAGATATGGTGGAATTTATGGAGACCTGGCAGGAGGTGGAGAAAACCAAAAGGGAAACATTCATGAAAACTATATTACACTCCTATTTCTTATTTAACCTGTATCCCTAAGTCTATGAAGCTGCCTCATCCAAGGTTTTCTTTCTTTTCTTTTCCTTCCTTCCTTCCTTCCTTCCTTTCTTTTTTCTTTTCCTTCCTTCCTTCCTTTCTTAATTTCTTTCTTTCTATTTTTTACCCCTTTCTTTCTTTCTTTTCGTTTTCCTTTTGATACCAGGAATTGAACTTAGGGGCACTTAACCACTGAGCCACATCTCCAGCCCTTTTTATATTTTATTTTGAGAGAGAGTCATGACAAGTTGCTCAGGACATCATTAAGTTGCTAAGGCTGGCTTTGAACTGTGATTGTCCTGCCTCAGCCTTCCCAACTATTAGGATTACAGGTGTGTGCCAACAAGACTAGGCTCATTTATTTTCTGTGATTTTAAAATTAGGAGGACTGTCAGGTGTGGTGGCACATGCCTGTAATCCCAATGGCTCTGGAGGCTGAGGCAGGAGGATCAAGAGTTCAAAAGTCAGCCTCAGCAACTTAGAGAGGCCCTAAGCAACTCAGTGAAACCCTGTCTCTAAATAAAATACAAAATAGGGATGGGGATATGGCTCAGTGGTTGAATGCCCCTGAGTTCAATTCCCGGTACCAAAAAATAAACAAATAAATAAATAAGTAAAATAAATCAGGGGGCTGGGGTTGTGGCTCAGTGGTAGAGCTCTTGCCTAGCACGTGTGAGGCCCTGGGTTCAGTCCTCAGTGCCACATAAAAATAAATTAAAAAGAAGGTATTGTGTCCAACTACAACTAAAAAAAAAATATTTAAAAAAAATCAGGAGGTCTGAGCACGAGGCTTAGCTTCTTTTGTGTGTGTGTGGTGTGGTGCTGGGGATTGAACCTAGGGCCTTGTGCATGCTAGGCAAGCACTTTACCAACTGAGCTATATCCCCAGCCTCATCTTTTTGAGGCCTGGAGGGCTAGCTAAGTCCAGCTTCTCCAATTTACCTCTTTTTTTTTTTTTCCTCCCCGGTGTTGGGCTTTGAACCCAGTCCCTCATGCATGCCAGGCAATCACTCTACCACCAAGCTACAACCCAGCCTTCAGCATCTCCATTTATAGTGAAATGAGAACATCCACAGGCTTTCCTCCTCCTTCTCTAAGTGAGGGATAAGGGAGGCTTCTTGATAACCCAGTTCTGTAAAGTATTATCATGTCAAAGGCCATACAACTGGTGAGAAAGCAGCAGAACTGGGATTTGGACCCTGGACTGTGGGAGAAGAAAGGAGGCCAAGGGGTCCTTGGTCCCCTTCTCTGCAAGCAGTCAGAAGCCTGACCGGATTCCAACTGTGCTGAGAAGATAGCATACCCCTCATTTCTCCAGGAGGGTGATGTCTCCAGCTGCGTATTCAGGGCACCAAGGACCAAGAAGAACTAAATCCCCAGTTGCTGAATTTTGTATTTACTGTCTGCCCACTTTCTTGCTTCCACTGACGTTTTGTAGTGCAAGTTATGATCGTCTCTATTCCTTCCTGGAGTTCATGGTCTCTCTCTGTGGCTGGACAAAATCCACCTTATGCAGAAAAACAACCTCCTTCCCCTAAACCTGAAGAGTCACAGGAGGTGGTAGCTGACTTGGCACCTTCCCTCTACAAGCATCTGGTTTGCTCTGGATTATCTGTGAAAATAGAATGAGTCTAAAAGAGTTTCTCTAGCCTGCGGTTTCCTTTCCCCAGTGAGGTCTGTGTGCATTCCTGGGGACCCATCTGGACAAATTAGGACTCTGAAGATCCAGCATAGGTAACATAAGAGCAAGCACAGGGCTGAGTGCTGGGCGACCTGAGTTCTAGTTCTGACCAACATGAGCCAGTTCTGTGACCTTCTACCACTCATTTCGCTCATTCTATGAACGTTGGGCCCACTAGGTGCTGACCTAGGATATCATGGTGACAAGATACATACAGCTTCTTCCTTCAGAGAATTTTCAGTCCAGTGAGAGATAAGCACATCCTTTACAGAGCGAGACATGTCCATAATGGGGGAAGAGCAGAATGACCTTGGGATGTACAACAGGAGTCCCTAGCCCAGATGGGAGGAGACTAGTCAGGAGGTACTTCCTGAAAACAGAGCTTTTAAAGCAGAGGCATTAAGGACATGTAGTAATTGGCCAACTGCATCAACATTTCCTCATTAAAAAAAAATTTTTTTGTTTTCTTCCTCATAAGAAAAATAAAGAATCATGCAAATAACCCAAGATTCTCTTTCAGACTTAATGTATCCCAACATCTCATGCATGGCTGAGCATACAAAAGATACTCAATCATAGACGCTTATGGACCAAAGGAATGGATGAGCAATGGAATCAAAAGACTAAAGTGAGAATACCTACAAATAGCAGATCTCCTGTACCAGCTAAACTGGTGATAGCAGAGGGGACATATCATTTGCTACCTCTCCAACCCTCCCCACCCCTACTTTAGTTTCCTTTGCTACAATCTGAATCCCCATTTAGGAGGCAAACCAGGGATGACCAAAGACCCCAGAGAAAAGAGATCTCCCTGGCTCAAGCCAAGGTGCAGCTTGGTGGCCCACAGGAGCCAACAGACTAGGCTTTAGATGAGTCTTGGCTGCAGACTGTTCACAGCAGGTAGCAAGGGAAGCAAACAAACAGATGCAGTTCCGGAACAGCGTGCAGCTCGGAAATGATCCTAGCTGCTGGAATTCGGCTCTCACATTCCTTATGGGGAGACCTGTTTGATGGCAGAGTAAGAATGCCAGACAGGGATGGCTACTGGCAAGGCTTTCCGGGAATTCCTGCGTCATGTGCTGGGATGTCTGGGCTGAGCTGAGCCCCTCTCAATCCTGTCTGCCTCATTGGGCCTACTATGCACACACTGGGAAGATAATCAAGAACAAGCCTCTGTCTTGTCCTTACACACTTCACAACTTGTATGTGTGTGCTGTATGTGTGTGTGTTGGGGGTGTGTGTGTCCAGGGTTGTAAAAGGGGATCTAAAAGCAGCTCAGAGTGAAAACTGCTATCATGTGTCCTGCTGGGTGCAGAGTATAGGCAGGAGCACAGATGAGGAGCGCAAGGACACGCCAGGGTGAGGCAAGTCTCAGACACATCTAAGATGAATCCTGAGGTACGATTAAGAATGCACTTCCTGCTTCCAGGAAGTTTACAGCTTAATTAGAGAAATAATATGATAAATATACAATTTAACGGTATAATCACAGGCAGAAAGTGGGAGGACCTTAAAAGAGATACAAATGACTACATGGGTTTGAAACACCTACTACTTTGGCTCAGGAGTAGGAGGCCCAGTGGACCTTGAAAGGTTGGTGGGATTTGAATTATCCTTCAGGGATGAAATGGGGAGGTGGGGGTGAGGGAGAAGGAAGGGCTGACAAAGAGCATGCTCTGTATGCAGTGGCTGTAGGGGGTCACCAGGACCCTGGAGTATCCTCTCCCTTGGAATTATGTTAATAAGATGTCCTCACTTCTCTCCCCTTTTCTCTGGGAAAAGAGCAGGCCAGAGGGTTCAGTTCATCACCCACGTCCAGCCTGAGACCTCACTGTCGTTGTCAAATCACCTTTCCCCAGAGCTGGAGGATGTTACAGCCCTCAGTCACCACCCCCCACCTCTGTGGTGGGCAATATGGCGCGCAAGATGTTGAACTTCCCCTGGAAGTTGGAACGGCCTGGATAAGAATCAACCTATTAAAACTGGCCTTCCAAGACAGGGAGGTATAAATTCAAAGAGGTCTGTAATTCCAGATAGCTTTTAGTAAATTGAGATGCCTGGTTCAAAGCTGCCCTCTTCTGACAGAACTAAGCCTAGCAAGTTTCATGGGATGCCCAAATCTGTCACTATGCAGGTAGTCTGCTTAGGCAATCTGATGAACTACTCACTTGTTCATTTATTCAAATATGTACAAAGCAACTGCAATAATAGTCTAATTATATCTAATTATATCTTATATCTGTTTCTAAGCATCTTAGATATAGTGTCCCATCTACCAAGCTAGGTAATATCAGAGCCAGGAGGTAAATCACATCAGTCCAATATCCTATCTTGTGTGCCTAACTATGTATTTCCTTATGGACTCTGGAAATCCAAGACGGAGCTAGTCAGGGCTGGGAGAGGATGTAATGAAAGAAGTCAACCAGAGAGCTATCCCTATTTCTGGCCTGGAGAGGTGGGGATGGCACACAGAGAGGGGTAGGGGCCAGCAGCGCTGGGATCAAGCTCAATTTCTACCCCCATCCCACAAAGAGGCCATGGTCAAGGATTTTCTCTTTTGCATGTGGTTGCTTATTGATAAAAAGGG